GCGTAAGGTAGGTACCACAGTGAGAAATGAGATTACAGTTATAAATAATTATTTAATTATTCATTTAAAAAAAAATCAATTATTTTGTTTTAAAATAGTCTGCATCAAAGAATAATCAGATCAGAATAATATCATCTGAGAGGAAATTAGGGGTGGTTTTTTTTTTGGTTTCTTGGCCATCATTTTTGCCTGTCGGTATTCTCCCAATACAAAAAATAATACTGACTCACTCAATAAAACACACTTTTGATTGAATTTTAATTCCGGTCTGGAGCCTTTTATTCTGGCTAAAATAAAATGTTGGCAAAACCGGCTTCAGGAGAATACTGTGCAGTGGATGATAAAATATTTTTTCATTAAATAATTCAATGACATTCCCAATTATGATTTTTTTATAGGTTGAAGAAGTTCTCAGGAGGCGATTCCCATATTACGAATCATCTTGGAAAGTGTTAATCCAATCAACAGTTGCCAAAATTCCTTTGTGTGAAGACGATAGGCATAATTTTTTTAAAAGTTGATCGTGATCTTTCGTTTGTGGGTATGTTAGGGAGTTAGTCATTACACTTTGATTTCTATATTTTCATACTAGTGTATTAATACTAATTTTTGACAGGTTAGTATTTGTTCGAATTAACTGTTTTAAAGAATGAATATAAATTGCACTGTAATTTTATATTGAAAATTAAACAAATCTATGTTTTAATTGAAGTATATTACATCATCATCTTGCAAAATACAGAAAAAACCTGTATGCCAAGATAGACCTGTTTTGGCCCCAGCAATTCACAGCAGGCGACATTAAAAGGGCGGTGAAAGACACAAAAAAATCATACAAGCGCCTCAATAAGGATAGGAGATGGAGCATGGCAGGAAGAGAATATCTAGAGGAGGAATTAGACTTAATAAATTATAGTAAAAGCAGTAATTTAGATAAGGTCCATGAAGATATGAAAGATGAAATGTACTTGTTAAAACAAAAAATGCACAAGATGAATGAAGAGATGGCACAGATGAAAGAGAAGTTGAGTGTAGTGAAAGGGTTGTGTGAAGAGAAAGAAGTGAAGTGTGGTGAAATGAAAAGTAAGCTAGAAGAGTTGATGATTGAAAAGAAGAAACTTGAAGAAGAAAGAAAATATAAAAATGATGAATGTAATAATTTATCTGTACTAGTAGAAGAAACAAATAAGGAGTTGAAAGGTTTAAAAAGTAGGAAGGCCTGGAAAGCATTGAATAGGAAGCAGCAGAGTATTTCAGTGAGGGAGAAGCACATACTTAAGCATCATCATCAGAAAACAATTAAATCTAGAAAAAATTCAAATGACCAGGTGACCAAGTTAGAAAGAGAGAAAGAGATGATGGAAAATGAATTGGCTGTTTTAAAGGACAGAGTAGTTGAAGGAGGTGTGAAAGAGATGAAGGATGGAAAAAGGTACAAGGATTGTGTGGAAATAAATGTGATGAGGTTGTGTGGTGAGCAAGGTGTGGCGACGCAGAAAGTGGGTGAGGTGATGGCTGGGGTTGCTGAGGATGTGTTTGGGGTAAAATTAGATAGTGTGCCATGTGCGTCGACAGCCAATAATATTATAGATAGAGGTTTTGTTTTGTGTCAGTATCAGTTAAAGGAGGCAATGAAGGAGTGTGAGAGTTGGGATTTACATGGGGATGGGACATCAAGGGGGGGAAAGAAATTTTGGGGTAAACAAATTAATTTTGACAATGACACAATGTTATCAGGGGGGTTTTCAGCTATTGCCAGTGACGATTCAAGTACATTGTTGGAGTGTGTGATGGAGTTTTTGGATGATTTATCGTATTTAGAAAATGAGGACGAGAGGGAGAATTTAAAGAAGGTGATGCTGAGTAAGTTGAGAGCTACAATGAATAACAGAGCAAGTGTGAACAAGAAATTTAATACCTTATTGAGTGAGTATAGGAGTGATGTTTGTGGTGAAACTGTTGATGCTTTGAAATATTTGTTTTGTAATGCACACTTTTTGTTGGGTCTATCAAACAAATCAGATTCATTATTAAAAGATTTTGAAAAGGGGTTAGTTCGGGCATTGGAGGTGGGGTTGGGAAGGGATGCATTTGGGAAGTTTGGAAGGTTTCAGTCAGGGGGGGAGTCTGCTACATCGAGAGTAATAAGAACAGGGTGTGATATTTTAGGGCCACGGGGGGATGAAAAGAATGGGGTTAGGCAAGAGTGGGTGGGTTATTGTTTTAAAAGGGGAATAAAATCTGTAGTTTCTTCATTTAGAATGAATAGATTTAACAATTTTTTTGAGGGTGCTGGTACTATTTATTTTCATCGGGATGACATTATTGATTTTCTAAGCAATTTTAAGGAAAAGTTGAATTTGAAGGTTGAGAGTGTATTGCATGATTGTTTAAGTTCTGAAATTATGTCTTTACTTGGAGCATTAGGATTAATTTATTTTTCAGTTACCGGTCCATTCTGGTTGCTTTTATGTGGTACGACTCAATATCTTGATTTCTTTAAGTATGTTCAGCCTATGTTAGATAAATTTAAGGTATGGTGTGATGATAGTATTTCATTAATAATTTCTGCTATTTCAATTTTTGATGATTTTAAAATGAATGTAGAGGATGAAGTTTGGATGAAGTTGAGAGAGAGTGATAGTAATGATGAAATGACAGAGAATGCTTTGAGAGTGTTGATGAAAGGTTTTGTTGAGGTGACTGAGAGACAGTTGAATGATTTTGTTGAGGGAGGAGAGTTTAGTGTAGAGCCAAGTACAGAGCTGAGAGAGAAGATGAAAAGCTGTAAGCTCACAAACCTTGTGAGTGAGTTTGAGTTTGGTGACTTAGATTTCAGCCTATTCAAACGCAGAAATGCTTCTCTTTTTTTTCATACCAATATACAAATGTTGAAGAAAAACAGGACCATTTCAAAATGGTTAAAATCAAAGCCACCAAAAGAACAGGTAAGTTATTTACAACTATGTCGTGGAAATGTAGAAATTATGAAAGAGAGACAGAAGATGCGAGAAGGAGAAGTACTGAAAAGAGTGAAAGAGAAATTAGAGGAGACAAACAAGACTAAGCATGAGGGAGAGATGAAGAAGCAAGAGAGTGATGGTGCGATTATAGAGCGGGTGTTAAGGATGAAATTAGATATTTAAGAATTTTAGGGGTTTAACATGATGAGATGAAATTTGTGGGAAAATCTGTAACAAACAAACAAACAAACCATCTTCTTCTTCATCTTCTTCTTTTGAACCTCCAGCTAAGAAACTTAAACCATTTGTTTTTAATTCTCATGGTGAGTTTGTTGCTGTGGCCTATGAACAAGATTGGTTTGTGGGTTCTGTGATAAATATTATTTCTGAGGAAGAAGCCACAGTACAATTTATGACCAGGGGAAAGGGGGGATCTTAAAGTGGCCTCTGTCCGACGACATCGATACAATTAGCTCCCGTTTTGTTTTCAAATCAAATCTTCAAGTTTTAACAACTAATGGAACAACATACCATCTTAATGACATAACATGTATTGGGTCAGCCTACAAAGATTATCATTATATTTATTTTGCTTCTAATGAAACTATTGATACAAATTTACAAATTTGTTGAATAAGGTGAGAGTCATCCAACACAACCATCAGGAGCATGGTTCAAGCTGTCTTCCATTTTTTTGTATCTAAAAAAAATAAAATAAATACAATGTTAGCCTATTTTCATTTTGATTCAAACTATGAATTTCATCCCATCATATTTAACCCCCTCTTCTAATCAATGGATTAAAAGCTTTAAAGAAAATATAATTAATTAATCACTTTATTTCAAAAATTATACGTAGACTATGCATCATGCTAGTACAATTTCTGTTAAGTCCTGCCTATTCATTAAATACTAAGAACTACAGTAGGCCTACTGTATAATAAATAAAACATTCATAATACACTTGCTGTTAAGTATTAAATTAAATTAAAACAATTCAAACCATTTCTTTCGGTCGGCAGTAAGTTTGCATGAACAACTTAAATAAACAATCGATTTAAGTCGTCAGATTGTAAATAAATTTATTCCTGGAGATGAACAAATAAAGTTTGATCTATAGAATCACGATGGCTTACATCACTTTCTTCGGAGGTTGTATCATAAATTCATACTGTCTTCTGAATATACTGTAATATATATATTCACTATTAATTTAACAGTATATATTGTCGATGATCAGTAATGATAGTGGTGGTGATTCTCTTCTTTATTGCACTGTACATACCAAAATAAAGTTGATTATTGATCAATTCAAATAAATGTTGAAAGGTATGATAACAACTTTGACTCATGTTTCAATTCTGTGTAGTATTGAGTTGAACAACACATGCATTCTTTTCACTTGATGATTCTATCTCCTCTGATGATGCAGTTTGGCCTGGCCAATGATTCTTTCTCCTGTGATGGATGTGACATATTTCAAGCAAAATTGAAAATTATGCCTGTTTATTTTCTAATTTTGAACCAATTTTAATGTAGCTTGATTTGACTGATTTAATTTATGTGAGTCTTTAAATAGTAAAACATTAACAAAAAATAACATAAATGACAAAAGGTTACAACA